GAGAGAGAGAGAGAGAGAATGTGTGAAAGTAAAAGACAAGAGAGTGAAAATGTTCTATGAACGATAAGTTTATTACTACTATTACTACTCTTACTATATTATCACTACTGCAACCACTATTATTACTACTACTATTACTTATCACTACTACTTAATATTATTAACTACGAATTACTATTACTATTACAACTACCGCTGTGCTAATACCGAACAAAAAAACATGCTATGGTGAAATATTTAGATAACGAAAAACTATTCTGTTAGACACAGTCAGTAGCCAGTAGAATACATGAAGATAGCCATTAGGTGGCGAATTACATTGTTGTTGCTGCGCGTCGGAGTCATTAAGAATATTCTTATCAAAATTCCAAGTCTTCGTAGATTCGATCAAGCCGAGACGGTTGTATATAGTCGGCTGAGTAAACTCAAATAATTGTCAGATAGCGAAAATATTATAAAAAATACCATATGCGTTGTTATTCCGTTCGGTTTCCATCGGCAGACTTTCGTCGTCTGAAAATAAATGCGAAGAGTGGAGTTTTCATGACGAGCCTTCAAAGATAGTTCTTATCTGATCTGTTTTATTTTTAAAATTATTCTTATTTTAGTTGCTCTTAAATCGGTTGCTTTCAATAATAAGTATATTATTTTTAACATTTTTATCATTGATTCATTTTTATATTAATTAGATTAAAGTTAAACTAAAATATAAAACAAAAGTTATTTTGTTCTAAAAATTGTTAATACTAAAGTTATCTATTCGTTAATGAATTATGGAGATATGGAAATTGGAAATTTTTAGTTAGTAATTTCAAAATGTTTTTGTCCTGATCCTTAAATTTAAGATCGTCGTGCTAAAGTGAATCTCTTCAAATCCGTTAATCTTCCACTTATGTTATGCCGTGTCTGTATTTGATTATGTGAACAAGGAAAGGAGAGAAAAAGAACAAATAAGGTGTCATGGTAGAGTAATTTTGGACATATAATTCGTGCACCAAGGACATGAATGACATTTTGCAAATGGCACAGGATGATTGAGCGAGAATAATCACCGATGTTCCTTCTAGAAAATTAAGTTACCTGTATTCTGCCGCGGAGGAAGAGGGAAAGGAATAATTTTTTTTATAATCCTTTCTACGATTCCATACGAATTGACAAAGTATCGATTATCGAAGCGTCTCCTCCGCCGAGAATTCAGGAGAAAAGCAGGATGGAAAATGTGAATGAATGTGTAAACAAAGGGAAAGAGCAAAAGGGAAAGAAAGAATGGTACTGTGTGTATGAGAATGAATGAGAGGAAGAAAAAGAATTATTGATAGTGAAATTATGCGAGTGGAAGATGCATTCCGAAATAAACTAAGTAAAAATTAAAAAAAGAAAAGAACTAGTCTTGCTACAAAGCTAGAATTATATTTCGCTGTCGCTATAGAACGAGATGATTCATCGCTACTAATTAATTAATGCGAGAAAAAAATGCGAAGAGGAGATAATCGGCGCACCGTCGAGTTCTTGAATAACCAAAAGAATAACTAACCAAAAAACGAATAGTAATAATAGTAATAATAAAATAACACGTACGGTAATCAGGTTGAACATGATATTATGAATATTATTATTCCATGAAGATAAAGCAAATAAATTAAAAACAGTTTAGAGTGCCGGCACCACTCTCGAGCATCCCCCGTCCTCTCTGGCCCCTCTCTGGATTGCCACGATCGATTCTTCCTTGATTCGATCTTGCGCGATCAATACTATCGAACTAAAATAGCAATAAACTGCTACAATTAATCGTTTGAAACCAAGTAAAAATAATAACGAATGTGAACTGTATTGCGAACAGAAGAT